TTCACCAGTTTTCACAACAAAGAATTGATGGCCTGTCTTTTTCAAATACCATTATAACCAAATGTATTTAAGCATACTCAGTGGATTTTAATCAATTGCAATTATAATCCTTTTGGAAGCTCAAATTGCCCTCTTTGGGGTCAGCAGGAATCTCTTCAGGTTGGCTTCTGGAATCTTTCTGAATGATTTAGTAATTGTACATAGTGTCTTTTCTATCCAGCTTAAGATGTTCTGTTCTTACCTTAAACATTTCCCAGCTGAAGCCTGGAATCTAATTACAATCTGGGTGCTAGGTTGCTCATTGTTCGTTTCTCCATTCCCGGCTTGGCCATCCTTCCTAGGTCTCTTCAGTGAACAGAACTAGGAACACACACAATTCTGATCTCGTGTGTGTGTGTGTGTGTGTGTGTGTGTGTGTGTGTGTATCTTGGGGATACCTTGTCACTTAGTTTTGTTTGTAAGTGTTGTCTGTGGGTTTTTAGTTTGGCCATTTAGTTCTATTTTTTTTATGTGCAGATTTGAAGAGATTAAACCATTTTGCTGCCACCACTGCCATCTTCCTAGAATCCTGCCTACCGATTTTTAATTAAAAGTTTATGATTGGCATCACTTTTGGAAATTTAGGATCAAGTATCAGTGCTAATCAAGAGCCAGTTTGCATTGTTATCAACAAATGTCCCTCAATTTCCAGCTGATTGCAACCACGAGAGTCACTGTTAGACCTATATTGCATATAAAACTTTTGAGATCAAATTATCTTTTAGAAAACAGACCTTTGCTCACTTCTTTTTCCATCATGTTGTGCTTCATTCATTTAGTGATCAGAGAGTCTCATTGGCTCACCTTTCATTTCCCCTATTCATGTAGGCAATTTACAAACACTGAAGAAATCAACACTTGGGTTCCACAGAAGAAAACGGTTACTCTGAGTGTTGATTTATATTAGGTACTAGACTTTGCTCTGAATATGCTTTGCCTATTTTTAATATTCATTTCCACCCTCAAAATTTATTTGGAACCATTGAGAAAGTGTTGCCAAGAAAATATTGCCAAGAAAATATTGTCTTCAAGACAGCTCCCAGATAGGATTTGGACATTCTGGAGTAGCTATGCCCATGCCCACAATAGTTAAAATTTTTACCATAGACAAAGGCAGTATTTTATTCCAGGTGAAATACAAAAATAAAATCTTCTTCTGCAATGGCTCTGAGTCTCACTGAATTTTGCAGCTGCAGGTGTGAGGATATTCAGCTCTCTTCCCAAAGTAAATGGTCTCAGCTAGACATGTTCTTTTAGGATCTCACTTCACAGAGTAAAATATTGGCACTTAATGAGAGGGTTCTATTTTATTACTAAGTGCTGAAATTTAATATATGGGTGACAATGTATGTATCATTTGAATGTTTGTTATCTTTTGAAATCTGGATTCTTTTAGCAGTATGGTTTTATAGTTCAACAACCCTGGCTTGGCCATAGAAGCACCTAGATGTTTAAAACCACCGAAGATGCCTTGGATCTAGCTCCAATATTCTGATAATAGGCCTGGGCTTGGGCCCAGACATCCTAGTTTTCTTAACCATTGACCCAGTGTTTTCAATGTACAGCCTCACCCTATCTAGTTAGTTCATAAGCCTATGATTCCCTTTATTAAATTTTGCTGCTTTTCATTAGCACAAATACTGGGGCTGTTTCCTTTAAAATATAAAGTTAAAAAGAAACCAGCACTAACAACCAATGCTAAATAATTCCATAAATTAATGCCAGTTCTATTGAGCCTGGCATAAATGTATAAATGTAGCCAAAAGAACAAAACAGAGATTAAAGCCACAGAGCCAGAACTTGAACTAGGATCCCTAATGGAGATTAATATTTTCTTCAGCAGTCTGCCAGCTGAATCATGGTCTAATTAAATAGTTCAGATTTAGTGAGTTTGCATTTAAAGTATTAGCAGATCCGAGAATGGGTAAAGCTAGAATGAGTTAGAATCTTTTCTGTAAATGGGAAGTTAAATTATCATAGTAATTTGATTAAATCATTTTTAAATCTCTCAAGCTAAATCACAGCCTTTAAAGAATAGTTTGAAGTCTTAATTGCTGTTTGTGAGCATATCTCTCTGCTATTTGTTCTCGCCTCATTTCCTGTGACATCCTATAATATATCTCCTGCTGGGCAAGAATAGTGGGGAAGGCAAGGCTTGGGGGGGGGGGTGCTGAAGTGACTGCAGCTCACTTCCGGCTTTTAGAGATCTGCCATGGAGAAGGACGTTTAGATACTTAGGAACAGGACCAAAGAATGGAAGTTGTAGACAGATTTGGGGAGATCTGAAGAGGACACTTCTAATAATCGGTTCTGTCCCTTGTAAAATAGAATGCTCTAGATGCATCTAGAAATGTCTTCATTAAAAATGTTGTAGAGAAGGTTCTTGGTGAAGATGGCAAATTGAATAACATGAACTCAGGGGATAATTATAACTCACTTTTTAAAAAAAGGAAATGCCATGTGCAGCGTCACGCATTCTGGCAGCATAATGTGATTCAAAGAAACCTGAGTCAAGTCGAACTGTGACACTACCAGTGCCACATGAAATAAGGCAGTGTCACCCCAAACAGGTACTTAATATGTGGTGTATTTATCATATTTATTCTGCTTTTTTTTTTGGTCCGATGGGACAAGTTTTTTCGTATTAATTTTGTCTGTGAGGATGCAATTCGTCTCTTCCCCACCCATTTATTCCCATTTTCACGCAGAGTGCTTTGAGTTCCGGGACAGATTGAGTAGGTCCCACCTTATCTCCCTTCCCTTATGTGCAAGGTCTTTTTTCTTTCCTTCTTTCTTTCTTTCTTTCTTTCTTTCTCTCTCTCTCTCTCTCTTTTTTTTTTTTTTTTTTTTTTGGTGTGCTTTTTTGTTTGTTTTTGTTTTGTACCTGGACACTCACCGTGAGTGTGTGTCCGTGCCCATTTCCCTTCAGACAGCGTTTAAGAGTAAAATTAGAAAACAAATAGCCCATGTTGTCATCTGCATGACAGTTTTTCCCTCACTAACATTACCAACCGTTAGACATCTTTGACAATTACGTGTGCTGTTGCTATGAGAAGGCACATAGGAAGTGGATGGGATTGTCATTTCTGAAAGGGTCCAGAGTGAAGAGAAGCCTAGCTAGCAACTATCCATAGGGAAAGGCTAGGTTAAGTACCGAGGAATGTCCTGGGTTCCACTCCACCACCAGCAACATTAACCACGTGGGAGAGTTCCTTCTCTTGGCTCAAACAGGCAGGCAGGAGTTGAGTCTTGAGCGGGGAAACACCAATAAGCCTCTCTGTTCCAGATCATTCAAAACTCTTTTAGAGAAGTGTGTTATGTAAATAGTGGTCAGTTTACCAACGATGTGATGAAACAATTTAAAACTGACAGGGTAACAGAAAAAAACAACAAAATACAAACGAGTTTGTAAAACATGTTCCTGGTTACAGCTACCAACGTTTTAATTACTTTGCCATATTTTTTTTTTATCATATGTTTTTAGCCACTTGGTTGTAAATTACATTTCCTCTCTTTTGTGTGCGTGTGACCTGTTATTTGAATTATATGAAAGATTAGGCTAACTACATATATCTTAGAGCTCTGCATTCTCAGAGAACGAGAATTATTAAACGTGAAGAATCCCCCAAAGACTCCATTATGTGTAATTAACAGATAAACTGTCATCAGAATCAATAAAACGTGCTAAATGATTCAAACTTGTATATAATTAAGTGTCTGTTTTAGAGCTACAGCGGTAACTTTTCTTTTTCCTCGCATCTCACATTTCTCAAAAGAATAATTGTGGCAACCCTGTTAACCCTTTCCTTGCCTGATTGAATTAGATTTTTAAATTAGTCAAAGTTCACCTTCACAAATGTGAAAAATATTTCAGAACTCATAATCTAAAGACTTCATTTGTTTTTCACTAGAAGCAGGCTGTGGAAAGATGCTTTAAAGAACTGTTAATAGGACACTGAAAATCTTAAACGGACAAGCAATTTACTGTGATTTCTGCCTATTCTACAACTAAACATGGTGTCAGATTCAGTGTATTTACATGGTGTTCTTAAAACCTTGCTCATCCACTATTTTTTTTTTTTTTTTTACTTTTGGGAAATATGGGCTTTTTGAGGGCAAGGTCATAATTTTAGACAATTTTACCTCCACAGGTAAACTATAATTTAATATAATTTTAATTTAATATAATTTAAAATATTTAAATTTCATATAATATAAAATAAATTTATATATAAATACATATAATATAATATAATATAAATTTAATATAATATAAAATTATAAAAATGTATAATTATAAAATTGTAAAATATAAAATTATTATAAAATTAAAAGGTCAACTTTTAGCAGATGACCTTTGATAATTGTTGAATGAGTGAATAAATACATGGATGAGATAATGAATAAAGTAACCAAAATTGTAATCTCTTAAAAGAAATTCTTCTCTGTTTGCTCAGTTTTAGGAGAAAACACACACACACATACACACACACTTTTAAATAATGGATTTTTTGCAGTAATTGCCATGTTCTCAATCCATACTGGTAATAATCTACAGTAGGGAAATCTAAGGAAAAAATAGAGATTTTTGAAATGTAAACTTCTCTGAGCAAATCACAGGTTAGAATTTAGTCGTTCAAGAATAATATTTAAGGGCGCCTGGGTGGCTCAGTCAGTTGAGCGCCCGACTTCGGCTCAGGTCATGATCTCGTGATCCGTGAGTTTGAGCCCCGTGTCGGGCTCTGTGCTGGCGGCTGAGAGCCTGGAGCCTCCTTCAGATTCTATGTCTCCCTCTCTCTCTGCCCCTTCCCTGCTCATGCTCTCTCTGTCAAAAATAAATAAATAAACATTAAATTTTTTTTTTTTTAATTTAACTTCCATAACTAATCTACACATCGGTTGGGGTTTTTTTCCTCACTATTATTGATATTGCTGCTCTGTGTTTTGCTTTGTTTGTGCAGACTCCATGCACATAGAAGATGTCGAAGCTGTTCAGAAGCTTCAGGATGTGTTACACGAGGCCCTGCAGGATTATGAGGCCGGCCAGCACGTGGAGGACCCGCGCAGGGCCGGCAAGATGCTGATGACCCTGCCGCTCCTGAGGCAGACCTCCACCAAGGCCGTGCAGCACTTCTACAACATCAAACTAGAAGGCAAAGTCCCCATGCACAAACTGTTTTTGGAAATGCTGGAGGCCAAGGTCTGACTAAAAGCTTCCTGGGCCTTCCTATTCTGCACGCCGAAAAAGGGAAAATAAACCCAAGAGTGATGTCGAAGAAACTTAGAGTTTAGTTAACAACATCAAAAATCAACGGACTGCACTGATAATTTAGCAGCAAGACTATGAAGCAGCTTTCAGATTCCTCCATATCTTCCCGATGAGTTTCTTTCTACCTTATCTCCTCTCTCCCTTTCTTCTCTCATTTCTTTTGCTCTTTTTTTCTCCTTCCCTTATTCCTCCTTTCCCTCATCTCTTAGCTTTCTTCATTACTGATTCCCGCTTGCCTTCATTTCCTTCCTTCTGTCCTTCCTTCCTCCTCCTCCTCTCTTTTCCTCTCTTCCTTCCTCCTTCTCCTTCTCTTTTCTCATCCTTCCCCTTTCTCCTAAATTTCACATATGTCTAGTTGTAAGGAAATTGTCCCTTTCCTTTCCTTTCCTTTCCTTTCCTTCCTTCCTTCCTTCCTTCCTTCCTTCCTTCCTTCCTTCCTTCCTTCTGCTGCTGAACTTCTAAAAGAGGTCTCTAACTGAAGAGAGATGGAAGGCAGCCCTGCCAAAGGATGGAAATCCATAATATGGATGCCAGTGAGCTTGTTGTGAACCATAACGTCCCCAGTGACTAAGGAATCAAAGAGAGAGAACCAACGTACCTAAAAGTACAGTGCAACACAAACAAATTGACTGAGTGCAGTATTAGCTTTCACGGGAGCAGCCTCTAATTAGACAACTTAAGCGACGTTGCATCGGCTGCTTCTTATCATTGCTTTTCCATCTAGATCAGTTACAGCCATTTGATTCCTTAATTGTTTTTTCAAGTCTTCCAGGTATTTGTTAGTTTAGCTACTATGTAACTTTTTCAGGGAATAGTTTAAGCTTTATTCATTCATGCAATACTAAAGAGAAATAAGAATACTGCAATTTTGTGCTGGCTTTGAACAATTATGAACAATAATGAAGGACAAATGAATCCTGAAGGAAGATTTTTAAAAATGTTTTGTTTCTTCTTACAAATGGAGATTTTTTTGTACCAGCTTTACCACTTTTCAGCCATTTATTAATATGGGAATTTAACTTACTCAAGCAATAGTTGAAGGGAAGGTGCATATTATCACGGATGCAATTTATGTTGTGTGCCAGTCTGGTCCCAAACATCAGTTTCTTAACACGAGCGCCAGTTTACCTAAATGTTCACTGACACAAAGGATTAGATTACACCTACAGTGACTCCAAGCAGTCACGTATCTTACGCACTGCACATGGAGAACAGATCCGTAGAATTATCAGGAGTGCGCCTCTCTACCCGGGAGGTACAGTTGCCATACGATTTCTAGCTGCCATGGTGGTTAGGAATGAGATACTGCCTGTTTGCAAAGTTACAGACCTTGTCTCAGAAGGAGCTGTGAGCCAGTATTCACTTAAGAGGCAATAAGGCAAATGCCAGAAATTGAGGAAAAAAAAAAAAATCATCAAAGACAGCAGACGCCTGACCAAATTCTAAAACCTAATCTTTATGAGTTTATTCATTTAGGAATGTTTGTTTAAATTAATCTGCAGTTTTTACCAAGAGCTAAGCCAATATATGTGCTTTTCAACCAGTATTGTCACAGCAAGAAAGTCAGTCAGGTTCCAGACTGTTAAGAGGTGTAATCTAATGAAGAAATCAATTAGATGCCCCCGAAATCTACAGTCGCTGAATAACCAATAAACAGTAACCTCCATCAAATGCTATACCAATGGACCAGTGTTAGTAGCTGCTCCCTGTACTATGTGAACAGTCTTATTCTATGTACACAGATGTAATTAAAATTGTAATCCTAACAAACAAAAGAAATGTAGTTCAGCTTTTCAATGTTTCATGTTTGCTGTGCTTTTCTGAACTTTATGTTGCATTCGGAGACTGTCGTCTTGTTCTTCTTGTGGTGTTTGGATTCTTGTGGTGTGTGCTTTTAGACACAGGGTAGAATTAGAGACAATATTGGATGTACAATTCCTCAGGAGACTACAGTAGTATATTCTATTCCTTACCAGTAATAAGGTTCTTCCTAATAATAATTAAGAGATTGAAACTCCAAACAAGTACTCATTATGAACAGATACACATCAAAATCATAATAATATTTTCAAAACAAGGAATAATTTCTCTAATGGTTTATTATAGAATACCAATGTATAGCTTAGAAATTAAAACTTTGACTATTTCAAGAATATAGATAAGTCTAATTTTTAAATGCTGTATATATGGCTTTCACTCAATCATCTCTCAGATGTTGTTATTAACTAGCTCTGTGTTGTTGCAAAACTTTTTGGTGCGGACACGTTTCCAAAACTATTGCTACTTTGTGTGCTTTAAACAAAATACCTTGGGTTGGTGTTTCATCAGCCTAGTGCTAGGAATACTGTGTATCTATCATTAGCTATATGGGACTATATCGTAGATTGTGGTTTCTCAGTAGAGAAGTGACTGTAGTGTGACTCTAGATAAATCATCATTAGCAATTCATTCAGATGGTCAATAACTTGAAATTTATAGCTGTGATAGGAGTTCAGAAATTGGCACATCCCTTTAAAAATAACAACAGAAAATACAACTCCTGGGAACAAAAAGGTGCTGATTCTATAAGATTATTTATATATGTAAGTATTTAAAAAGATTATTTTCCAGAAAGTCGGTGCAGGGTTTAAGTTGCTACTGTTCAACCACACTATATAGAAGTAAAATAGATGTGATGTATACGTTGTTTTCACTGTATCACATTAAAGTACTTGGGCTTCAGAAGTCAGAGCCAACCAACTGAAAACAGGAGCTGGAGATGTGCGAAAGGAATGAGGTACCAATCTTAGTTTTCAGTTTAAGTGACTCTTGGCGTTTCCAAGAACAAGCATCTCACATGTAGGAGACACGACTTTAAAAGGCAGATCCAAAAGAGCTGCACGGGCTTTGGGGTCAATGCTCATCTTAAACCTCGCTCGAGGTAAGTTTTTTTCAAGTTTCAAGCAAGGCCATTTACTTAATGTGAAGTTTTGGAAAGGTATGAAAGAGTATGTTTTCACCATATGATTTGAACTTTCATTTCGCTTCTTTTAGGTTTGTTCTTATTTAAAGCAATATGATTGTGTGGCTATCTGTAGTTACACTTGTGTTTCAATCAGATCAGATTGTTGTATTTATTCCACTATTTTGCATTTAAATGATAACATAAAAGATATGAAATATTTAAAACTGCTATTTTTCTTATAGAAGAGAAAATGGGTGTTGGTGATTGTATTTTAATTATTTAAGCGTCTCTGTTTACCTGCCTAGGAAAACATTTTATGGCAGTCTTATGTGCAAAGATCGTAAAAGGACAAAAAATTTAAACTGCTTATCATAATCCAGGAGTTGCATTATAGCCAGTAGTAAAAAGAATAATAATAATAATAAAACCATGTCTATAGCTGTAGATGGGCTTCACATCTGTAAAGCAATCAATTGTATATTTTTGTGATGTGTACCATACTGTGTGCTCCAGCAAATGTCCATTTGTGTAAATGTATTTATTTTATATTGTATATATTGTTAAATGCAAAAAGGAGATATGATTCTGTAACTCCAATCAGTTCAGATGTGTAACTCAAATTATTATGCCTTTCAGGATGACGGTAGAGCAATATTAAACAAGCTTCCACTTTTGATGGCTCTTTTGTATTGTGTTTCTTTCTTTTTTGTTCCCCCCACCGAAACACCCAATCAGTAAACACTGCCCTTTGTCGCTTCCATTCAAAAAGGATCTCTGAGTACCTATTCCCTAAAAATAAAGTAGGACTTTAAATAAGAGCTATATAAAGGCTTGTCAGAATGAATTCTAGGGTGCCAAGAGACATTTTGCATATTTAAGAGTATGCAAAGTGTCTCATGGCACATTAGAATTCATTCTGACAAGCCTTTATATAGCTCTCATTTAATCTTAAAGCATCTCCACATCATCCTGCATTACTCAAAATCATCGCCTCTATGTCAATGTCATAACAGAAAACTTTCTCCCTATTTTAAGATCATATTAAAACCTGCTAGAGATACCTATTATTTCCCTCCATCCACAATTAAATCATGTGCTTGCACGCAGCTCGTCGGCGAGCTGCAGGCTCTCCCGGAGCAGCCGCGGAGTCGCTGGCCAGATTTCCTGAATGGGAAATCAACAGAGACCGTGCAGATCCGTGTGCGCGAGGAGGGGGAGCTGTCTCCGAATTCAAGAGGGTTAAAGGCACTGCTGACAGCAAACGGCCTCCCCTTGCTTTCGTTCCCCCCGGAGAGGTCACGGCCCTTGTTGCCCTGGGTCAAGCTGCACGTCCACAGGACCCTCCTGGAGCCGTCACCGAGGTGCTAATATGTGCTTTCTTGACTTCTCTGCCCATCTTGCGTTTTGTCGTTTTGTCGTTGTGTTTGGCCACCGTATTTCTCACCTTTCAGAGGTGGCCGGTTCTCTCGCGCCGGCTGATGACACAAAGGCCACCGAACGCAATCCGATTTAGGGGCATGAGATTACCTAAATCACCAAGATACCCTAGCTAGCAGCATCACTCACGTGTCTCTTCCTCTTTCAATGTCCTTTTAGTGGCAATAGCGCGACAGAGACTCTGAGGTGTTTTAGTTTTGATATTTGCAAAGTATTCGGGGGGACCTGACACCACGCGAGGGACAAGCCCAACAGGAAGAAGCTGCCTGTGATCTTTCAGTGAGGTCCTCATTTAAACACATGTAAGTCGCAGGCGAATGCTTTTAAGAAAAATGTCAGACTTCTCTTGCTGGTTTTTGGAATTCTGAATTATTACGGAGTCACTTTTCTGGTACTGACGTAGTTATCAGAGATGCCTCAGGTGTAAAAGAAAATAAAATAGGATTTTGACATTTTAGCATGTTTATTTCTTGATATACAAACAGTGAATACCTCTGACAAACGGCTTGCGTATTTGTGTCAAGGGATTACTTTTCTTTTCACCTGTTGTTTATAAGTCACTTTTCGCTTTAAACTAGTGATTCCCAAACATGGCCACATATTGGAATCACCTGAAGAGCGTTCAAAATTCCTGACATCCTCCACCCACAGAAGTTAGGGGATTAATTGTGGCCCGGGCTTCTGAACAGTTAAAAAATCATCTCCGGGTGATTCAAATGGGCAGACGTGAAAACATATGAAGAAAACGTAAATTGTTACACGTTCCTCAAAGAGGCCAGGGAGATCCTAAAAAAATAAAAACTTCTCGCACATTGGCTCTGAACTTTTGTGAGGGTTTTAGACTATTTTTTTTTAATATCATGACAAAAGGATTAAGCCTTGTTTTTAATCACAAAGCCAATGAGATGCATTTGGATTGTTTCAGCCACCACCTCCCCTCAACGTCCCC